CCCCAAAACCCCAAAACCCCAAAACCCCAAAACCCCAAAACCCCTGTGATAATATTAAAGGCTGAGTATTATTTTAATTAAATCTAGAATGAGTAAATCACTACACGGAGCACAACAAAAAAGAGAGAAGACTATCTTTCCCGCTGACTTCTTTCAAGGATCCAGAACAAGTGACCCTGGCAAGAAGTATCACATACCTAGAGTTAGCATGGGTAAAGATCGCTGCACTGTTCATCGAAATTTGATGTATTCACCAAAGAAAGAGGTTCTCCAATCAGAATCCACCTCTGATATTTCCAGAGAAAGCATAAGTGAAGAGAATATAAAACTGCCAGAGATCAGAAGGAAATTTGATGGAGAGAAATTAGTAGAATTTAAATTCCCATACCAAAAGGATAAAGGCCAGAAGGTTCAAAAGAGTTTCAAAAGTACCCAGAGGGAAAATAGTATTTCTAGAAGCGTCATTGTCAAACAAGCTGATGATATCTCACCTGTCTCTCACAGCACGAGCTTAGATTGAGCAGTCCTTCAGAGAGATAACAACCTTCCTAGTATTCGCGGAAGAGAGAAAAGAGTCTCTTCTTCCAGAATCAATTATAGATGAATTCCAGAGGGATCGAGAGCTTCCTTGAAGGGAAAGATTGAAGATGGATATTCATCTTACTGCCCTAAAACAGAGATCAAGGTAGGAGGAAAAGGACTGATGATTGGTAAGAGTAAGGACTTGACAAAAATGAACCTATCCAAGGAAAAGCTAGCAGGTTTGAAATCTCACCCAAAACTACAATTGTCAAAAGCAGATTCATCAGACAGCGAAGCTGAGAGAATGTTCGATCTGATCAATGAAAATGCATTCGAGGAGCTATGTGAGCTCACCAAGGATGACAATCCCTTTGATTCTATCCTACCTTCTGAGCAAGATTTGTACTATAAAGGTGGCACAAGTTTAAGAGGAGCGTCTGCCAATTCTAACATTTCTGATGAAGAGGTAAATCTACATCAAAAACCCTTACATAAAGGGTCTGTAAAGGAAAAGAATGTATCTGAGTGCCTAAATAGGACTCCATTTAAGTTATCTGTAGAGTCTCCAGAAGCATGTGCACAGAAAACAGCATATTTTGGACATGCTGAGTAATCCTAATTCCTAATTTTCTAAGCGTAATTTCAATAATGTTTTATCCTAAGGGGTTTTGGGGTTTTGGGGTTTTGGGGTTTTGGGGTTTTGGGG